ACTTCCCCCTTTGAAGTCAGTGAGGTTGAATAGGTAGGTATAACTAAGGGTAAAAATTGGCCCTAAAGATGTGGGTGCTTTTCTTTGGTTGGCTCGGGGAGGGGTGAGGCAAGGAGTATAGGAGGAAGAGTGGTTACTGAGCTGTGAAGACAGCTAGGGTTGGATGGGGCGTGGGAGTCCCAGGGCTCTGTCTGGGGGTGTGGATAAGGGTTGGGGCAGTCAAGGGACAGGTAGGGGGTAGGGTTCTAGGGGGCCAGTTAGGATGGGGGGAGGGCCTCAGGCGGGGCCAGTCAGGGGACAAGAGGCAGGGAGGCTTAGGTAGGGGGTGGAGTCCTGGGGGGCAGTTAGGGGCAGGGGTCCCAGGAGGGGGCAGTCAGGGGACAAGGCGTGGGGGGAGGGTTGGGGGTTCTGAGGGGGCAGAAAGTGGGAGGGAGTGGAAGGGGCAGGGGCGGGGCTAGGGTAGGATGGGGGCGGGGCTAGGGCGGGGCTCCTCCCGTCCTCTTTTTTGATTGTTGAAATATGGTAACCCTATATAATACAGTCTTTTGTCTAGTGAAAAAAATTTCCCTGGAACCTAACCCCCTCATTTACATTAATTCTTATGGGGAAATTGGATTCGCTTAACATCGTTTCGCTTAAAGTCACATTTTTCAGGAACATAACTACAACGTTAAGTGAGGAGTTACTGTACTTTGTAATGAATATGTGGGCAAGGCATTCCCAATTACTGCCTCTGGAACTCACTCTCTTTGAATATATATCTGAGCATGAGTCTGGACATTTTTACTGCATTATTTAAAACCCACCTCCTGGTCTAGGCTTTTCACTAACTGCAGCATTTGGAATCTTCTGGCACTAAACCTGCTGGTTCTTCTTGGAGGACTGTCCCTGTGGGTGCTCCACTTTAGGTGTCTTAGTGCTCTGTGCTTCTAATCGGAGATTTGTAGTAGCAGTGCCCCGGTTGGCTGCGCACGTGCAGCAGCCATCTTGCGCCGGTCCAAACAGTTACCCCATGGTGCAGCCAACTGCCGTACAGTTCCTTCTCTACCACCCCTGGCTTCGGTTGAAACAACAGCAGTGCCCTCAACAGCTTTAGCTATTTCTTACTATTTTAGTTTTTTCCAACTAGTACCCTTTCTTTATTAATTTCTCTCTAAAATGTCTTTCCCTTTTAGCAAAAAAAAAAAAGAGAGAAGAGAGGATTTTGTTCCCCTGCCTCTGGTGGGCCGTCGCCTACCAAGAGAGGCATTAGAACGGGACTACCCAATTCCTTCTCCAGCATAGTCTCTTAGACATGACCTGCTCACTGTTACATCTCTCCATGAAGGTCACCTTCCTTGTAGCCATCATGTCAGCAAGAAGGGTGGGAAAGCTGGATGCCTTAATGGCACACCCACCTTATACCATATTCCTCAAAGACAAATCTTGCGACCGCATCCCAAATTCATACCCAAGGTTGCCTTCCCCTTCCACCTCAACCAGCCCATTTACTTATCTGTATTTTTCCCAAAACTGCATGCTGACAGCAGGGATGCCTCCCTCCACACACTGGACATCCACAGAGCGCTAGCTTTCTATACAGAAAGAACAAAAACATTTAAAAAATCATCCTGTTCCTATCCACAACAGAACGTTCTCAGGGTCAAACGATCTCCAAGCAGAGGCTATCGAAATGGATATCTACGTGTATTCAATTATGTTACCAAAATTATAATATGCAAGCTCCCTGTGGACTTCGCACATTCTTTACTATGGCACTATCCACATCTGTAGCATTTCTCAATAATGTACCCATCACGGACATTTGTAAAGCAGCTACCTGGGCATCAGGCCATACCGTTAGTAAACACTATGCATTAGAACAACAATCAGCTGCAGATGCCCAGTTTGGACTATCGGTCCTCTCTGCTGCACATAAATCAACTCCGAAGCCCCTCCCCTCCATTGAGGGGCACAGTCACCTAAAGTGGAGCACCCACAGGGACACTCCTCGAACAAGAAGAGAAGGTTACTCACCTTGTGCAGTAATTGAGGTTCTTTGAGATAGTTGTCCCTGTGCATACTCCACTACCCCCCCCATCCCCTCTTCTTCAGAGTTTCACGTCGATCCTCTGAGGTAGAGAAGGACCTGGGGGACGATTGGCTGTGCGCACGGAGTAACTGCTCAGAGTGGTGCGAGATGGCTGCCTGGCCTGCACGGCCAACCAGGGAACTGCTACTACAAATCTCTGATTAGAAGCTCAGGTCTCCAAAACACCTAAAGTGGAGCACCCACAGGGACAACCATCTCGAAGAACCTCAGTTTCTGCACAAGTTGAGTAACCTTCTCTTTGAGTTTCCTGTTTCTTACTTTAAAGGATATAAAGGATAACTAGTTGGTTTGATTCTACAAGTGGTCACATAACATATGCCACTTACTTTTGAGAAATGTTATCCATACAACTTTTTTTATACAAGAAATACAGAAATTGTACAAATGTAGCAATTTTAGATTTTTTTTAATTTCAGTTGTACTGTATCTATACAAGCCTCTAAAGATGAGGGTTGTTTTTTAATAAAAATCAGGATGCGGATTGCAATTCATATTTTATGACACTAAGTCTAGGTTCTTAAATCCATTGAAATTATTTAAATTCACAAGCACGCTATTACTTAAAATGCATCCCATTATTGCAATTGATAGCACTAGTTTAGATTTTGTGCCTAACCCTTGTTTATTTCTCCAACCTTAGAAGACTGGGATATGTTGGATGTTGATGAAGATGAAAAGCTGACAGGAGAAGAGGAATTTGAGTTACTGGCTGGCCCCCTGGGGTTAAATGATCGCCGTATTGTACCTGAGGCAGTTCAGTTCCCTGACAGTGATCCACTAGGAGCATCAGTTGCAATGGTCACGGCCACCAACAGTATGGAGGAGACTTTGATGCAGATAGGTAAATTTGAGCGAGGGAGGTATATTTCAAGTCTAATTTAAAGTACAGACATTTTGTTTTCTTTGGTGTGTGCTTATAGGGGCAGTTATGATATCATGGGTCAGTCAGTCTACCCAGCCTCCCAACATCAGGAAATGTGGTCAGGCCTTAATTTTTCCTATCTTTTAGAGGAGCTGTAGTGATGGAGAGACAAGACTCTTTATATTGACAAAAGACTTAAACCTGTGATTTTCTGTTAACACTGTGGCCCCAGTCCTGCAATGGCCTTCATGGACCTCTGAGCCCCTGGGGGAGTTACAGTAACTTAAATGGGCTTCTCACAAGGGGTCCATGCTAGGTCAGATTGTAGTAGTGAGGTCTGTCTCTAGCCCACTGTTTTGAAGGGTTTTTGTAATGCATTTTGGCTGTTGTCAAATTGTTCCCAATCTGCTGAAAATTTAAAGAGGCTAAATTGGGTATAGAACTTTAGGAGTATACAAACAATGATTAGTTTTTATAAGGACTCACAAACTGAAATCTGCAAAATTTGTATTAATTTGTATACAGTAGTTTTGTGTTTAATAGCACACGATAATTGTCCCTTTTTGTTTAACACTAATTCAAATCATTATTACATTTAAGGCTGTCACGGCTCCATAGAAAAAAGTTCTTCTGGCAGGATAACCCTGGGGGAACAAGCTGCTGCTCTAGTAAATCCACATGACCGTGTTATGGCACTAAGAAGAGTGACAGCAGCAGCCCAAGTACTTCTTGCAAGAACCATGGTTATGAGAGCACTCTCACTATTGTCTGTCAGGTTTGTGACATTCTTTATTTCCTCTGGATTTAATTATCAACTTGTATTTGCTAGGGATTCAGTGTTATCTGGTGGGGCCAGTGTTACTCATTTTAAATAATTTGGTGCTGCTTTTATGAGGAGGGCTTTCTTTTGACTGCCATCTCTTACCCCAGTCTGCCATGCCTCTTCACTTTCCTTCCCTAAAAGACACTTCTTCCTTTATATATATAATGGTTAATGCCTAGAGGATCCAACTGAGATTAGTGCCCAATTGTGCTGCACATTGTAGAAACACATAGTGTAAGATGGTCCCTTCCCTGGAATGCTTACAGTCTAATAGACAAGACAGATGTTAGAATTTCTAAAGCTAAATCAGTAAAGGAAGGGTGGTCTTGTGGTTATGGCACTTGATATTGAGTGAAGAGATCAGGGTTAAATTCTTGCCTCTGTACAGGAGTCTTGTATGCACTCATACCACAGCATGGGGGTATTTAGGATTCAGATGTGGACGTGAAGAAGTTACTTAGTCCCCAGTACTGCGCATGCTTATCTCTGTGGTTAATTGTAAGCATGAGTATTCCCTTCTTCTGAAGTGCAACTGCACACATTCTTAAAGTTTTAGCACATTGGTGTTTGCAAGATCAGGACTCTTTCGCAGTTCCCCATCTGTAAACTGGGGGTAATACTTCCTTTCTCCTACCCTTTTCTAGGGAAATAATTTCCCACTAATCAAGCAAGCAGTATTCTATTTATTAATGGCACTTAGTAATAGTTACATTGTATGCAAGATGAAATTTCCTATTATGTACCTAACATTAAAAAAATGTTTTGTTTTTTAAACTAAACTTTTTTTTTTGGTCAGTGGGTCCAGTTGTAGTCTTGCGGCTGGTCTTGAGTCCTTGGGTTTAACGGATATCCGAACTTTGGTTCGATTAATGTGCCTGGCTGCAGCAGGGAGAGCAGGCCTTTCAACAAGTCCATCCACTATGTCCAGTACTACAGAGCGTTCTAGAGGAGTACATAGTAAAACAAGCAAGCCTATATCTTGCCTGGCGTACCTGAGTACAGCCGTAGGCTGTTTGGCATCAAATACTCCTAGTGCTGCAAAACTGCTGGTACAGTTGTGTACACAGGTAGGATTGTTATTTCTATACAAACATTTGCCTCAAACTCTGGTATTTTACCCTTGAAATTTTTATGTATGCATTGAAGTGGTAAATTTTGTGAAAAATGGTTTACATAAAAAAGGCACTAACCTGCCAAGAATATTGTATGCTCCACCATACAATGTGCAACTGGATGTGAAAAGTTATTTCCATGACAAAGGACTGCTTGAAAAATGTAGCTGAAACTTGTTCATGTTTATCACCTTTCTTTTTATAAAAGAATCAAGATGAAAGTAAAATGGAAGAGATTATTCCCTTTTTGAAGTTTTCCCTCATGTTTCAGCACAAGTTTGTTCTATTGTTGGTAACTTCATGTATCTTTATTTGGATGCTAGGGATGTATATCTGCCAAGGAAAACATGAATCTGTTGGTTGTTTTTTTTAAATTGCTGCTTAACAGGTCACTCTAAAAGGGAACAATCTTTGGTTACACAAATTACCTACATTTTATTGAGTCAACTATACCCAATGGGTATATTCAAGTTTGAAAAAAAGTGGATATGTTTCGCAAGGTGTCATGTATATCTATAACCTCTGTAGCACACAAGCTCATTGATTTGCTTTTACTGACTGTGAAGTGTATGCAAGTGAAGGAATTATAACTACTTTGAGATGAAGTAATTGATTTTATTACCTATCTTGTTTTTGCTTCTCCTACCCAAAACTTTCTAAGCTTTCAAAATTCTCCAATAGATTAAATTCCCTACCTGACATTGATGACAATAACAACACATTCAACTCTTTGTCCCTGAACCAGCAAGCAACAAACAACCTGTTTCACACTGACAAGTCCATTCAGTCCAATTAGCTTGTGGGATACAGGTCTTGAATTCTGTTTTATATGTAATATTTGCATAATTAGAGAATTTTGGTTAGCAAATGATAAACTCTACAAATGAACTGCAGATCTTGAAAAATCTATACATTTTAGATTTTATTTTTGTTTGACTAAAAACATTTGGTTAAATTTAATTTTTTCACTTGATTGCCTTTCTTTTAGAACTTGATTTCTGCTGCGACTGGTGTAAATTTGACTACAGTTGATGATCCAATTCAAAGAAAATTTTTGCCAAGCTTTCTGCGAGGAATTGCAGAAGAAAACAAGCTTGTAACATCGCCCAACTTTGTGGTAACTCAGGCACTTGTAGCATTGTTGGCAGACAAAGGGGCCAAATTGAGGCCGAACTATGATAAAGCAGAAATTGAAAAGAAAGGTATTTTTTGTTTTTAAAAAAATAGTTTGTCAGTATAATTCACAAAAATCTGCACTTTCTAGTTTATATTCCCAGATAGATTTGTTAAACTGAAGTTAAGCTTGAGAGCACATAAGAGAAATATGTTTTTTTTTAAAAACCCTGCAAGAGTTTTGTAATTGTCAATAAAAATCACCATTATAAACCCAGGAAATTCAGTCAGATTGGAACTTGAATTTACATTGTCACCTTAATTTTTAAAAAATATTAATTTAAAAAAATCCAGTTTTTGACAGAGCACCCTTTAAATGGTATGTCCGGAATTTTTTAATTATTCTAAGAGGTTTCTGCTCCCTGTTGATGTTTACAAGAGTAAAACTGTTTATACACAGGACACTGCGAAACTGCCTATACATAAATTGCTGTCACATTCATAAAATAAATGAAAGATTAGATGTTTTTTCACTAATTGATTTCCATGAGAGTAATCTTAGGTGTTACTTAACTATAGATGCAACTATAGTTGCAACATTTTCAGGCAGAAATGTGATTTTCAAGCTGCTGTTGTTCCTTGGAAAGAAACCTAAATATCTGAAAGTATAAAAATCCACAGCTTAGGCATTCAGTTCTAACTCTGCCCCTATAGTGAGGCAGTGGAACGGGGAGAAAAGCCCTCAGGAGATTTTATTCATGTCAAAACTTCATCTCTTTAGGGTTCACAGAAAGTAAAATGCTTCAGTCTTAATCACAGTGATTGCTCCAGCTCTAGCCTTTTTTATGGGCATACACAATTCACAGTAAAAGATACAGTTTACTAATTCCTGATTAGACAGATAGCATACTCAAAGCAATCATTACCCATTTTTCATTACTATTCCACATGCCACCAAACACAGAAGTGTCATTAGGCACAGAACTAAGGATCTAACCCTCCTAAGCATAGATGCATAAAATTATAGTACTTACATGAAAGAACAAAAGTTAATGTGGTTGTTAGCATCATACCTTAATAATCATCAGAAACATTTATATACCAATTAGTTGTAAAACCAGTGGTGTATGGTTCATATTCTTATGAAGTCTCATTGACTGCCAGTGAGGCTCCACGTGGGTGCAGATGTTCACGCAAATAGATCCCAATGCAGGATTGGGGCCTTTAAAAGGCCTGGTGTTTTAGGATGAAATCCTGGCCCAATGATGTCAGTTGGAGTTTCCCTATTGACTTTAATGGGGACAGTATTTCGCCCTTAATCTAAAAGGCTTCTGAAGGGCTTTGTGGAAAAAAGATTAGAGGATGGCTGGTTTTCAGTCTGTATCAGAACAGTTTTTCCAAATTTAAGATGGCTCTGTGGTATTTTTAGTTTAAAAAAAAAAATCTTTTTGCAGAAATTTTGTTCTTTCTGACAATTGTGGGTAATGTTTTATTGGCTTGTTTAATACGATCAATATTCATTTGGACATCATCTCATTGTTTTGTTTAAGCAGGTTTAATTGCCCATTTGTATGCCCATCCTCCCTATGATCCTTCTGCTGTAGGCCCTCTGGAGCTGGCTAATGCATTAGCAGCTTGCTGCCTTTCCTCAAGGTTGTCTTCACAACATAGGCAGTGGGCTGCACAGCAGCTTGTGCGAACTCTTGCAGCACATGACCGAGACAACCAAATTAGCCCTCAGACCCTTGCTGATATGGGTGGAGATCTACGAAAATGCTCCTTCATAAAACTGGAGGCTCATCAGAACAGGGTAAGCATTATTCCTCCCAAAATAGATTTTAATGTATAATTTATTCTTTATTGACCTTTTTCTTTAGAACACAGAAAAAATGCAAGTAATTAAATAACTATAAGCAAAGCAACAGACTTCTGGTATTTTATAGAAAAAGTCTTTTCGCACAAAAGATGAAATAACATTTTGTAGTGATAAATACTGTTTGGGACATTTTATGCCATAAAACATTTAACCTGTTGCTGCTGTGCAGCTTACTTTTATCAAAGATTTTGGCCTTCTGCTACTAATTTTGTTGTTGTAGCTACAAATGTTTTAAAATTAAGATTTAAAATTGCTTAATCCCTCTTTTTGCAAAAGAAATGAATGGGAGGAGGATCACAGTAAGTTATAGCCCAAAATATGACAAATTAAAAGAGTTGGGAGAGGGGTGGGGAATGAGGGTAACTACATTTCAAGTTCCTTATTCTAATGTCAGCTTCAATAATTAAGGCACTGATCCTGCAAAAATGGCTTTGCATGAGCAGCATCTTGTTGACATCACTAGATTTCCATGCAGGGGGATCTGCCAACATAGAGCCCGTTGCAGAATTGAGACCTTTTGAAATCTCTAGGATTCATGAAACTGATTTAAAAAAATAAACACACAAAGTCAACTGAATTATTACAAGTCTTTTCTTATACATTTGTTTTAAAAGCACACATGTATTAATTTGTTTTGGCATAATAGATAATCTGTCTCGTTCACTATTTTGTTTGACAGTGGCCTATAGAAGATGATTCACAGCAGTGTGCAGTACTCCTAATAATGCACCTAATTATGCAATACTGTACAATGAAAGGAAATTTCTTCTTGGGTACTGTTGGATTCTGTTTAGTATAATTGATTTAAATAATACAGCTAATACTTTGTCCAAATCAGGCAAACGTAATGAGTTGCATGAGATGAATATGTCAACCTTTAAATTTTAAACTCTGGTTTTACATTTGTTAATTTAATTTCTGCAGGTCATGACATGTTTTTGGTGCAATAAAAAGGGACTTTTGGCAACTAGTGGAAATGATGGGACTATAAGAGTGTGGAATGTAACAAAGAAGCAGTATTCATTGCAGCAAACATGTGTATTCAACAAATTGTAAGTTGTTTCTTTATGGAAGTCTGTTATTAATTGCTCCACAATGGCAATCCTATGGGGATTCCCATGAGCATAGGAAACTGCCTGAGCGTAGGATGGTCTTATTCTTCTTTGGGATGTTTACTGTATTTAAAATAACAAAAATGATCAAAAGTAAATGATTTAAAACTGAAAAGAGATCCTAAAATTTAAGGTGGAGATAGTAGTCCAGGTAAGGGGATTAAAAAACATTTTTTTAACCTGAGAATGTTTTTTTATGTATTATTTCATAATAAATTTACCAAAGAACAAACAAAGATTAGCAAGAAAAATATAAGTTTAAAGAGGGACTGTCATACTGAGGGTAACTTACAAATACATTGACTTAAATGTACTTTTGAATGAATTTAATTTTGTTTTCCTAATTGCTGTGTGACCTTGAGCAAGTCCCTGAACTTCTTAAATGCTTATTCTTTCTTATTTGTAAAGTTGGGGTATATCAAATTATATTTACCTGTTTCATAGGGATGTTAAGAAGCCTAACGAAGGGCCTGATTCCCATTCAATCAGTGGGAGCCTTTCCTTTGATTTCAAAGAGCAATAGATATGGCCCAAAAATATGTTTATAATGTATTAAGGTAATTTTTGGGTTAATTGTGGGAATAGAATTCAGAACTTGTGGGCTTGCATTCCACTGCTTATTTCTCTAGGCCATTTGGCTTTGCAGGAAGTGGTACTCCCCTCTCCTCATGGCATTTATGTATGTTAGGTACCTGTATGTACTGGTTGCAAGTTTCTTGAAGTATGTATTTGTTATGGGCTTTAGCAAATTTGTATTAGAGCTGTCTCTTGGGGAGTTTTACTTACACATACACACACACACACGCACGCATGCACTTTTGTACAGTTCAGAAATTTCATCTCTCTCTAGGGTGGACTTCTTAAGCTCTGTGAAGGATGGCTTGCAGAATTAAGAATTTTGCAGAGCTCATAATACACACATGAACTGTTTTTCAAAAACTAAATAATTCACCAAGCAACTCTCCAAACTGGTAAATGAAACCAGTTCCAGACAAGAGATTAAAACAAACTGGATGTTTCTTGGCCAAGTTTTTTTGGCATTGTGATGAGCCAAAAAAAAATGAAGTGGCTATAATTGCCAATTCTAGCCAAGGAGTGATTAATAGAAGTTAGTGGGGAGGGTCAATGATGACTTAAAGCCATCATTTCACTGTCTTATCTTGGTGTCATTGTGCTACTGAGCTGTTCCTTCAGCATAAATTAGAACAGTTTGAGGAGTAGTGCAACTTGCACTGGCTGCCAGTGGCCCCAACGCCTGATATGATATGAGGTGTGGGGATACCCTGAGCGCACCCTCTGCACTAGTCACAGAGAAGTGGAGGTCGTAAGAGCTGCTATAGCAGCACTGCACTCTAAAAAATCCCGTTACACTAAGGTGATCATAGAATCATAGGACTAGAAAGGACCTCGAGAGTTCATCTAGTCCAATCCCCTGCACTCGTGGCAGGCCTAAGTATTATCTAGACCAGTGTTTCCCAAACTTGGGAC